GAGAGGGAGAGGGAGAGGGAGAGAGAGAGAGAGAGAGAGAGAGAAACTAAGCTAGGTGTAGTGGCAAACATCTTTAATCCCAATACTTGGGAGGGCAAAGATAGGAGTCTCCTTGTCATTTCAAGATCAATCTGGTCTATATATTGAGTTCCAGGACAGCAAGAGCTACATAGTAGAGACCTTATCTCAAAAACACAAAACAAATTTTTTACTAAATATTGCAAAATAGCACATTTTCAAAACACTTTCAAAATCCAAGTATTTACCAAACAAACAGAAAAAAGGGGAAAAACTCCATACCCCAACCCAAAAATGACACCTACCTTCACTTTCTGAGAAAGGTTTCATTCGGTTCTTTAGATACCTGTTCATTTCTCCATTATGGCACATTTCTAACACCAGGTATACATAATTGTTATCTTCAAAGTAATTATAAAGCTAAAACAGAAAAAGGTGCAGTCAATTACACAAACATCCAGCTTTCTTAACTGCTTGTATACACCTGTATCTTACCTCCAAAACAGAAGGGTGTTTCAACTGGCAATGTATTTTCACCTCATTCTGGACTCTCTGTACCATTCCAGCTTTGTACATGGCTTTCTTATCTATCTAAAAATAAGAGAGGCCAGATTTATTTGATTTTGTGGTTTGAACCCAGGGCCTTGAGCATGCTAGAGGAAAGCACTCTACCACGAAGGTATACCCCTAAACCCAGACAGAAGTCCCAACATCAATCTAAAATTGTCTGAAGTCTCTTTATATGTCTTTGAAGTCAACTCTTATCTATGCTCCGCCCTTGCACCTAGCAGAATGAATTTTCAGTTTGTCCAGTGTAACTCCTCAGAGCTGAGATTACAGGCATGCACTCCCACGCTCGACAATAATGGTAGTTTGGATTATTATTGCCTCATATAAGCACATTTATTATAAAAAAAAAAATTGTCCTGACTTCTTCCCATTACCTTAAGTATTCATAGTAACAAAATGTACTTGTCTTCTGAACACTAATAAAGTATAAAACTTAAGCAAGGCTAAAGGGTCTCTTAAATGTCCCCAAGTTCAGCTGCTGCACATAGCAACACTGTCTTTTGGCTATGCAATGTATCTCTCTCTCTCTCTCTCTCTCTCTCTCTCTCACACACACACACACACACACACACACACACACGGTAGTGTGGCAGTGTGCACAGCCTCTAGTTGATAAAGACTGTGACATTTTAAATAGCATGCCTCTCTAGTCTCTTGCAAAATACTGGAGAAAGGGTCACTAATACATTCTTACCATTTTGATTGCAACTTCCAAACCGGTGTGAATGGACTCAGCTCTGTAGACTCCAGCAAATGATCCTTTACCCAGTAGATTTCCAACCTTAAAGTCCTTTAAAAAATTAAAGATTATACGTGATGACTTGCAGAACAAGAAAGTAAGAAAGCTGGGTAGGAACTGAAATAAATCAGGTAAAATGGGCCAGAGAGGAAATATGACAAGGTTCAAGCTGCCACCAGACCTCGATGATGCAGGTGTCTGGGGTGGAAGGCATCTTGATGCTCCGCAGGACTTCCTGAGCTCCAGCCAGGATCGAGACTGAGCCTTCTAATGAGCTGGTTAGCTCGGCTCCCTCCTCCCGACCACCCGGCTCCCGCCGCCGCTCCCGCCACGGTAACCGCCGTCCCCGGGGAGGGGCAGACGGAGCAGCTCCCCGAGCGCGGCTTTGGAGGCGGGAGTGGGGACCCGACACCAAGGGATGGGGACCGGGCGGGGCCCACAGCTGGAGATACACCTGCTGGGTACCAGGCGCCCCACGGGAGGGGGAGGGGCGAGGGGCGGGCCCCTCCGCCCGCCTCTCCGCAATCCGTCCCCACCACAGCGCCCATCCGCCTCTCCTCGGTTCGCCCGCAGCACCCCAGCCTCACCGAAGTGGGCACTGAGCACCAGTGAGCGCCTTGACCAGGGCATCCTTGAGCCCGCGCCCGCCCGCCCGCCCGCCCGCCTCGCTTCACCGGTGTCTGTACCAAGCCTTATCCGGATCTTCTTCTCCCCAGCACTGCGCTCGCCTCGCTCAGTCGGTCCCCGAAGACCAGCGCGTGCTTCACCCAGACCTTCCCTCAGCTCCCGTCTGCCCGCCTCACCTCGATCCTCTCCCCGATGCACGCCGCCATGTTCCCGGGCCGCTGGCGCCCCGGACTCGGCCGTCTCGCAGTCCCTCCGAGGCAGCGCTCCGAGCAGCCAGCGGGTCTTGGCGCCCATCGGGCTGCACTCCCTATGCCGCCGCCGCTGGCGACGCCGCCAACGCCACCGAAAGGTACCCCCGGTACCTCCTGAGGCCTGGGCGGCGCCTCCGGGCTCCCATTTTGAAAAATTCCCGCCGACCTCTGAATGAGCCAGGCTGCCGGTGACGTCAGCACGCTCGCCGCTTCTGCGAGGATGTGTGATGCGCATGCGCAGGAGGGGATTCCGGGCGTCGGCGCTCCAGGCCGGAAGTGGACAATAGTTTGAGGGAAAGTCATCGTATGAGACTCACCAAAACGGCGATTAACCATGAACGTTTGGAACTGGCAGGTTAGGTCTCGACTCAGTTTCAGAGCCAGGGGCAGAGCGCAATAGTAGAGGGCCTTCCTAGCACGCGCCGAGCCTTGGCTTTCCCTAGCAAATCTTTTAAAAAACTTGTTAGACCTAAGAGAACTGGGGAAAAGTCCAGCCGGGCAGTGGTGGTGCACACCTTTAATCCCAGCATTTGGGAGGCCGAGACAAGCGGATCTCTGATTTCGAGGCCAGCCTCATCTACAAAGTGAGTTCCAGAACAGCCAGGGGTACACACAGAAACCCTGTCCCGGCATTGCCTTCCT